ACAAAGAAGCCACAATAGCCCCGGGACCGGAAGGAGGGTTGCGTAATATACACTTAAGATCCGTACTGCATCTCCAGGCACGGGCAATGGCCTGGAACCGGATTCATGATGCAGCAACTCTTCGTCACGATAAAGCATCAGCGTCCTGCTAAGGCAGCCATCTTGCTTTTTTTTTAATGTACATATTATATAATAATAATAATAATAACAATAAATGTATTAAAATAATAGTCAATATCGCTTCACGTCTTCCATAGACTGGCTACAGAAATAGAAAAAGGAAACGTATAACATCTCATATGCCGGATGTGGTATTTGTGAGATCACATAAAGAGATGAAAGAAACATTGTGACAAAAGATATAAAAATAATTTTAAAAAATACAATAAATAAAAAACCCCGGACGGCAATTCGGAAACGGAAACGTAATGACTGGCAGCGAAAAGGTCTGAAGATGCATCACGGGCCGCAGAACTGCTGCATGGAAGCGTGAATCATAACAGGGATTGCACCCGGGTCTGGATAGAGCACGACAGCATAGAGAGGTCATCAGATAATGTTAGGAGGCAGGCATTGAAAGCACCTTGCCATCAATCCATTGTTACCAAGATTTAATTCATTTTATATTTAATTACCAAGAAAACAAATTGATTCATTATTCATTTGCCAAATAGATTTGAATTAATACTTTGTTACCAAGAAACAAAATTGATTTAATATTAAATTTCCCAAATAGAATTTAATACTTTGTTACCAAGATTAAATTCATTTAATAAATGCAATATAAATAATATAATAAATACAGAGAAGAAATGGACTGAAATATTAATTACCAGCGCAAAATCGATTTAATACTTTGTTACCAAGATAAAATTAATTAAATATATAAATACAGAGAAAAAAATGGACTTAAATATTATTTACCAAAGTAGAACTGAATGAATACTTTGTTACCAACATTAAATTAATTTTATATATAAATACCAAAATATATGGACTTAAATAGTAATTACCAAAGTAGATTTGAAATAATACTTTGTTACCAAGATTAAATTAATTTTATCTATAAATATCAAGAACAAATGGACTTACATAGTCATTACCAAAGTAGAACTGAATGAATACTTTGTTACCAAGATTAAAATAATTCAATATCTAAATACCAAGAAAAAATGGACTTAGATAGTCATTACCAAAGTAGAATTGAATTAATACTTTGTTACCAAGATTCAAATTCATTTTATATATAAATACTGAGAAGAATGGACTTAAATATTCATTACCAAAGTAGATTGGAATGAATACTTTGTTACCAAGAAAACAAATTGCTTTAATATTCATTTCCCAAAATGGAATTGAATGAATATTTTGTTGCCAGGATTAAATTAATTTAATATATAAATATTGAGGGAAAAAATGGACTGAAATATTCCTTACCAATGTAAAATTAATGTAATACTTTGTTACCAAGATGAAATTGATTCAATAGATTTTTAGATTGTAAGCTCTCAGGAGGCAGGGCCCTCCTTGCCATCTTGTCTTGTATTGTATTGTGATTGTAATGTCTTCCTTATATTGTAAAGCGCTGCGCAAACTGTTGGCGTTATATAAATCCTTTATAATAATAAAAAATAATTACATTTTTTTTTTTCGTCCCACCCTTATAAAACCCATTTGCTCCCACTCCCCTCGCTGCACTTTCCCTCAGCATCTCCCATTGTCTGCTCTTCCTTACCATCTCGTTGTAGGCGTCCTTACTGAGCCTGGGGGTCAGCTTGGTCGTTCCCATGAAAACGAAGAACAGGCCGAGGGCCATTGAAAGGGAGACAATGGTTATTGTGCGCGGGGAAGCCATGGGTCGCTCTCTCACCTATTGCCTGTTCACAGTCAATGGCCCCCACTGTTCACGGGGCTCTGATTTTATAATGACAAGCGCCTGCGTGCTCCAGGATGAATATTCTCTGGAAGCCGCGTGGTCCTAAAAGGCGGCTCGGCGGTCGCTGCCTGGTGACAAGTGCCGCCTCTGCAAGCGTCTTTTCTCATTGGCCATCACCGTGCAGAAGGCTTGGGATGGAAGGAGGAAGCAATGGAGGATGCAAGGAATAAATTGCACAGGGACGTAACAAAATACGCTGAGAGTGTATCACGTTACCAAATGACTGTAATGTTCTTCTTCTTAAAAAAAAAAAAGATATTCTGTATACAATATTTA